AATAGGACATCATGCTTGGTAAAATATAGGGACTATGCAAGTATCGTGGGCTGTTTTAAGACAAAAAACGATCTTGGAAGAAGTATAGCTAGATTGTTCTTAGAGGCAAGCATGGCAAAACTTTGTTTTATGTACTTTGGGCATGTAATTTATCAGGAAATGCCAGTCTCTGGAGACGGACATCATGCTTTGTAAATTATTAGGGCGGTGAAAAAGGGGAAGACACTCAAGGAGATGGATTGACACAGGGGTTGCAACAATGGGCTCCAGCATAGGAACAATTGTGAGGATGGCGCAGGACAAGGCAATGTTTTGCTCAATTGTGTATAGAGTAACTATGAACTGAATTGATGGTACCAAACAACAACAACAACCTTACATTGGAGCCGTACGTTTTAGTAATGTTATTAATAAACTCTCCAATTCCCTTGGAGTGCCACAGACTTCACAGTTGCAAAATCTGAACCAGTCATTTGGTAGTAATGAAAATGATTAGCTAAAAGAATTATATCAAGTAAGTCTTTGCTCTACATATGAAAAATATGGAGATATTTCTAATGATGCAGATTGAGGACCCAATACAAAATTGAATCCTTCTCAGCATATTAATAATCAAAACTCAGGCCTGAAGTTAGTTCAAGATATTAAAAACCTTTAAGTAGGATCAGACTAAGGTATAGTGTTTGGATAATGTCCAAATCAAAGAATATTGTTGTTGTTATTAAGTGCCATCGAGTCCGCTCATATCTATAGTGGCCCTATGTACAGCAGAGCAAAACAGCTCCTGGTCCTGTGATTTGATTTCCAGAGATGTCTCTCCTGATAAGATGCCCAAGGACCTGAGACAAAGACTCACCATCTTGGTCCTCAAGAGCATTATGGCTGTATTCCTTCCAAGATAGTAAGATAATTGTGTGTGTTGGGGGGGTGTACAGGATGCTGCCAATATTTTTTGCCAGCATACCATAATTCAAATGAGTTGAACTGTCTTGTTTTCCTTATTTAATGTCCAATTTTCACATGCATATGAGGAAATGGAAAATACTCTGCCTTGGGTCAGGTGCAATGTAGTCCTCAAAATATCATCCTGGCTCTTCAACACTTCAAAGAAGTCTTATGCAATAGATTTACCCAATGCAATGTATAGTTTGAGTTCTTGACTGCCAGTTCCATGAACATTGATTGTGGATCCAAGCAAAACAAAATCCTTGACAACTTCAATCGTTTCTCCATTTATCATGAAGTTAACTATTGGGCCAGTTGTAAGAATATTGGTTTGTTTTGAATTGAGTATTAATTCATCAGCAAGTGCTTCAAGTCCCCCTTGCTATCAGCAAGCAAGATGTGCCATGTGCATATTGCACATTGTTCATAATCCTTCCTCTAATCATGATACCGCATTCTTCTTCATATGCTCCAGTCCCTGATCCTTTGGTCAGTCTACAGATTGAACAGATATGGTAAGAGAATATAGCCCTAATGCACATCCTTCTTGATTTGAAACCATGCATGATCCCCTTGTCCTTTTCAGACCACTGCCTCTAGATGCATTGTGCCAGGAACATGATGAAGTGTTTTGGATTTCCTATGCTCCTCAAGGCGATCCATCATTTGTTATGATTGGATTGCCACACCCTTTTCTCTAGAAAAAGATTTACAATCATAAAGATTTACAACCTCAGAAACCCAAAGGATAATTTTACTCTGTCTTGTAAGTTCATTATGATTAAATGACATTTGTTTGCTTGTTTTGGTTAGAAGACCTAACATATACTGATCAGTGGTAGCTAACCTTATTTATTTGTTATATTTCTGTTTCGACACAGAGCTCTATCTTACCCAGTTGATCATTATTCTCTGATTAGTCACTTGATCATCCTTTTCCTTTTAAACTGCTTCTCCTAATTGAGAAAAAAAATTTTCTCATATGGTTTGAACTTTTCGTGATGGCATAATAAGACATGATTTAAAAGTACTAGTTCAACTCTAATACCAATACAAATCATAATCTATCAACTTAATAGAAATTATACTGTTACATTAAAAAGGAAAAATTCTAGTGAAATTGTTATCTTTACAGTTCTTAGTATACATTGTTGTTGTTAGTACCATTTGCCATTGAGTCAGTTCAGATTCATGCTGATGTCATTTGTGCAGAAGAGAATTGCTCCATAGCCTTTCCAAGGCTTAGTCCTTTTGGAAGGACATCACCAACTATGTCTTCTTAGAGATCTCTTTGCATAGGTTAGAAACTCTAGTCTATCAGCCAGTTGTATATCACATAAATATTTGCAAATATATATATATAACTTTTAGGTTCATAATGAATAGTCCTAGGTAATAAATACTGTTGATGTTAACACAATCAGATTGAAAAAAAATCACCCAAAAAAGCCATACAGATGTGAGATTGGAAATAGCAACAAATTTCTTGATCTCTGCACTTGAACTCATATTGAAGCTTTGTTATTTTGTAAGTCTAGTAATCAGAAAAATCAATTATACAAGCATGTTGGATATATCTGGTGATTCCTATCCTTGAACTCTAATGTAGATAGTTTCAAATACATTGAAAGTATTTGTATCATTCTTGCTTTTTAGTTATGTCTTAGTTAAAAATAAAAAATGTTTTTTTCAACAGATGTCAAACCTTGGTAGTATAGATATTCAGAAAACCTCATCATACTATCCAAAAGAAAAAATTCTAAAGGCATTGTCACTTAAAAGTTTTCACAACACTAAAATACTTTAAAGTACTTTTAATATTTTACCAATATGCTCACTCAGTTCCTAATTATTTTCGGATCCTGCTGAGCAATTTTCTCAGCTTCTTAGTATGGTGATTTGCATTCCTTCTCACATCTGGGTTCTTTTTCTGCCTTTTGTTTGTATTGTTTGGATTGACATAAGATCTTCAATTTTCTTCTTAAGAAGACAAGATGATTTTTTTTAAATGAAAATTTCCTACAAACATATAAGTTTTTTCTGGATCTCTTATGTTTCCCTGTTTAAAAATGAAGCTGTAAGTACTTTATTTTTAGAGATATGTGGTTCTTGCATATTGCAAGATGAAAACTTTATCATTATTTAAATATTAAATAAATTTACATTATTTGTAACCTGCACAAATGATTTTCAGATAGTGATGTGAATAACTAAATCAATCAATAACTTTTCATTTCTTTCTTGAGAAAAATTTTCAAGTCATACATAAGGCTTCTTGCTTTAATATATTTGAATTAATAATAATTTCATATTTTATTTGTAGCATAATTTGCCAATAAGTGCTGCACAGAAACTGGCTTACCTAGATGAAAGTTACAATGACAATGTTCATGCTAATGAGATCTACCTTCAAATAAATGCTCATGTTTCTAGATGTGATGTTCCATATGCATAATTTCAATTTTAAACAGTAGCACTGTGCTTCAATGACCCAATTAAGAGAAAGAAGACTGCCGTTATTTGGTTCACTGGGCTTGGTTCCAGCTCACACCAACCCTGTTTACAACACAGTGAAACATTGCCTAGTCTAGTGCTATCAACAAAATCATTCATGCTTTTGAGCCCATTGTAGCAGCCACTGTGTCAACCTATCTTACTGAGGGTCTCTTTTTCTAGCTCTCTCTCAACAAAGCATAGTGATGTTTTCTAGGGACTGATCCCCTCTTATGACATGTTCATGTTCATGAGGTAAAGTCTCACCAACTAACTTCTAAGGAATATTCCAACTAAACTTCCAAGACTGGCTTATTCTGTTTGTCCATAGTAAATATAATATTCCCCAAACCTTAATTCCAAGGCATAAATTCACTTTTGGATTTCCTTGTTCATTGCCTTCATCAACTGAGCTTCAAGAACATTCCAAGAATGGCTTTATTGCATTAGGCAAATGACAGAAGACCTGATGTGCTGCTGTGGAACCACATTAAGACCATCATCCGTTAAGAAAGCAAAAGGTCATTAAAAAGACAGGAAAGTAAGAAAAGATCAAAGTGGACATCAGAAGAGGCTGAAACTTTCTCTTAACCTAGAGTAGCTAAAGCAAATGGGAGAAAGAATGAAGTCAAGAAGCTGAATAGAAATTTAAAAGGGCAACTCGAGAAGACAAAGCCAAATACTATAAGGAAATGTGCAATGACCTATAATTATAAAACCAGAAGTAAAGAACAAACTCAGTATATCTGAAACTGCAAGGATTTAAGAAAAAAATTCAAGCTTTGATTTGCAATTTTAAAAAATAATATAGGCAAAATATCGAATGATTTAGGAATCATCAATAGAAGATAGAAAGAATACACAAAGTCACTGTAGAAAAAAATGACAAATTAATCAACAGTCCACCATTTCTGAAATGACATATGAACATGGTGCTTAAGGCAGACGTTCAAACTGCACTGAATGTGTTGGTTAAAAACAAAGCTCCAGGAATTTGTGGAAAACCTACTGAAGTGTTTTGGAAAGTTGAAGAAGTACTGGAAGCATGGATTTGTCTATGCCAGGAAAATTGGAGGACAGCTACTTGGCCAACTGACTAAAAGAGGTCCATATTTGTTCCTCTTCCAAAGAGAGGTGACCCAACAGAATACTCAAACTATAGAGCATTATCATTGATATCACACACAAGTAAAATTTTGCTGAATATCCTCCAACAATGTGGCAACAGTATATTGACAGGGAACTGCCAGAAGTTCAGGCCAGATTCAGAAGAGGACAGGGAACAAGGGATATCATTGCTGATATCAAGTGGATCTTGGCTCAAAGCAGAGAATACCAGAAATATGTTAACATGTGTTCCATTAATTAATCAAGGGCATTCAACTGTGTGGACCAAAATAAACTGTTGATAATGGTGAGAAGAATGGCAATTCCAGAACTCTTGGATTTGTTCCTGGGTAATTTGTACATGGACCAAGAAGCAGTTGCACAAACAGTACAAGGAAATGCTGAACGGCTTAAAAATCAGAAATGGAGCCTGCAGGAAGGAGAGCTGGTGTCTTAGACTTGGCGACCATGGCTCCTGGGAGTTTTGCGTCCAGCGACATCTCCGAGGCTTCCTCAGTGGGGCTGACAGCGGAGTGGCTGGGGTTGTCAGGGTCTGAGAAGCCAGGTCCAAGCCTGGGTGTGCTAGCGCAGCGCCGCAAACCCACTGTGCTGCGTATGGTGCTGGAGGCGCTGCAGGAGGGTGAGCAGCGGCAGGGCACCTCGGTGGTGGCCATCAAGCAGTTCATCCTGCAGAAGTACCCAACGGTCAACGTCATCCGCCTCAAGAACCTGCTGAAGGAGGCCCTGGCCAAGGGTATCAACCGTGGCCTCCTCATCCGGCCCGTCAACTCCAAGGCCAGGGGGGCCACTGGCAGGTTCAAATTAGTTGCCAAGAAAAAACGGACAGTCCATCCCAAAAAGACATCCACGGCTATGGCCACCAAGGAGAAGAGCCTCAAGGACCCCAGGAAGACAAAGAAGGACCCCCCCGGTTCAAATGAGGCAAAAACAGGATCCATGAAACCCGCTCAGGTGAAGCAGGCCATCCCCAAGCCAGGCACAGCCAAGGAGAAGGCACCTAGGAAAGATGCCAAGGCCGTGGCTACGGTGGCAAAGCCGGGTAAAGCCAAGAAAGGATCCCCCAAACCAGAAAAGGCTAAAAAGGCCCCTTCCGGTGCTGCCAGGCTCAGCAGGAAGTCAA